TACAAAGTATTGTATGTGTACCTTAAAAATTCTGAACTAAGTATAAATTTATTGTTAATTTAGGACTGGGTTTTATATATATTCTTTTTTTTGTTTTTTTCTAAATAACTTTCTAAAAAACTAAAGTCTGCAGGGAGGAACTAGGTGAATGATATATCCATAATAGGGTTTTCAGATATTTCTTAAACTTTTACATTTATGTGCACATCACATCCTAATTGAGTTAAAGCAGTCATTCCTATGAAAAGTAATCATGTTAATTTGATACTTGGAATGAAAATTGTGACTTTACTACAATTAATTATTTGCCATATTAATAAACTTGCATAAGCAGTTTAGAATCGTGAACCTCCTGAATGTGGAGGTTGTTTGCAGTAAAATGCAACTAAAGAACCATCTTTCCAAAAATCAAGAGCACACAGAGCTTGTTAAAGTAGCATTTGGATCTTTCCATTGGGGATTCTGCTAAGTGATCACCCATCTAAGTGACAACTACTCATTCTAGTGGAGTAGTCAGCTAGTTTATCCCCTTTAACAAAGTTTCCAGCTCCTGGAATCTGATAAGCCCTCAACTGTCTGCTTATGCTATCTTTAAATCATGGTAGTTAAACAGGAGCCCATATAAGAGTTAGAGCAGACCCATAATCCTCTCAGAACTTTCATTCAGGTTGCCTCCTTGGTGATAGCCTGTTGTATTCCTGTAGAAGGTGTGCAGACCATAGGTGGTTTTCTTAACACACATTTACTTATTGATTTTACAGAGGAACACTGTAAAATTTTATAAAGCTCTTAAAATGTCTGACAAGGATTACTTTAAAACCTGATTTTGAAAAAAATAATAAAAATCGGTCTCTAGTAAAAATTCATAAAATTTACTTTAAAACACAATGTAGTTGCTACCCTCTCCTGATGCTTTATCTTCCTAGACAGAATATTTAATTTCATAACAGCTGATGCCTCAGTTTAGTCCCCTGAAGCATACTGAAATTTTTTGTCTAAAATAAATGTTAATGCCTCCCAAATTTCTATCTCCAATGTTTTTAACCTGTATAGCTCGAAATGTAATCATCAAACAATTATATTAATTTAGTTTTTTATATTCAGAAAATGAGTCAACATGAATCTTAATGTTCATATATCTTGTATTATCTGCAGCCAGACTAAACTTTGTAAGATAGTGTCTGTCAAGACACTGTTCAGGACAGGATAGCTTTTTTGTGAGCTGAAACAGAGAGAATAACCTGGAACTGTCCTCATTTTCTTTAAAGATTTTAGTTCCAGCATTCACAGTGTCAGTATTGAACTCCCTAGCTGCTTCTTTGCTTTATACAGCACTGTTCTTTTGTTGCCTTGCCCATATATATCACTTGCATCTTGGCTTCTGATACTCAGAACTCTTATGTTTGAGAACTGGCATTGCCTGGATTGCATGATTTCCTGGCATAAAGAACTAAAAACAAACAGCAAAACTGGTTATAGAGACAGCAATATTCCAGTGGTGAAACAAGCAGATTATCTGTGTAAACTGTTCTCAGGAACAAATGATTGCTCAATACTGACATCCTAATCCTTTTCACTTTCATCATAGTTTTCTTCCCTATCCTTTGTGCCCTTTTTCTTGTGACATTTTGTGGACGAATGCTTTTCTGATCTGTTCAATAAGCCATTGGCAATTTCCCCCAAGAACACAAAGAAGTATGTTATTGCATGTAGTATGTCATTGTCCTGAAGTGAAAAAAGAGGCAAAGGGGTCCTCACCTTGTTGTAGCTTGAGGAAGGTCAAATAGCCGTGTATAATTTCATCACTTATAAGGCTCACAGTCATATCTTCTTCCAGTGCGTTGCACGGAAGATGCATAATAGAGATGTTATCAATACTCAATGGCAGGAAGAATGTTCAGTAGGTACTTGGCAGTTACAGAGGCACATGTTGGGGTGCATGCACTTACATCTCAGCAGTTTCCAGGACAGTCAGCTCTTTCTTGACTTGTTTTCCAAACTGAGATTATAGTAATGGATGAAAAATAATCTCTGAAGATCATATATACCCAAATATCACTGAAGATAATAAAGAAATGGTAACCCTATTAAATTCACATTCAACGCTGGCCTATGTATCACAAGACACACTCAAGTCTTACTGTAATTCTGCTGAATGTAAGGGTAAATTGAGAGTGTTGCAGAAGATGCTGGTACCCAGATTTGTTGCAGTGGGTAGGGACTATGTTCTCCTCTTCCAAGCATCAGATAAAAACAATGGCCACCACTTTTTCCCATATGATAGCAGAAGTCGCTTTGTAACTAAACTGTGGCATATGACTGACTTTCCAGTCCAGGTTAAAACTTGATAATTTCTCTTACCAGTAAAGAGGAAAAAGATAAACCTCACTAATTTGGAAAACAAATGGATTTTCAGAGTGGTATCATCTATTGGTACTGATCATATTGGCTATCCATTGACTTTCTTGTCCCACATCCACTGAACAGACATTTTGAGAGGGAACAAAATAAACATGAGTTAGAAAATTTTGCATTAACTGTACTTGGTGCTAAAAGAGACAGTAAATAAGAATCTGTTTGTCTACAACAGAAAAAGTAAAATTAGGACCATCTGTTCCAGGAAAAGAATGGCTCAGAGCCTCTGGCAGTGCTTTCTTTGTCAAAAGTCCTGAGATTTGCTTATTCCCACAATTGCTTTGATTTCCAAGACAGTATTCATCACCAGGAAGTCAGGGCTACTTTAGTGATAGTCTTGTATTGCTAAGAATAGGTTTGTCTGTCAAAATTATTGCATACATCCAGATAGGCTGCCGTGTACATTCCCATTTTCTTGGACATTTTTTTCTCAGGGCCGAAACACATAAAGCCCTAGTTAATAAATTGAGCCCAGGGAGGGGAAGTCTCTGTTAAAAAAGAAAAGCTTTTCCATATTGCTGTACAAAATATAACATCAGAGATGTATCAGTTTAAAGAGTTCTGTCCCATGCTGTACTCTTAAAACAGACAAGATGGTTATTCAGCTGCTTCAATACCCAGCTGGCAACAATATCCATCTGACATGTTTCAGATCCAGTGCCCATCAGCGGTGCCATGTTTCTGTGTTACTTTCAAGACCGTTTTTAACCGTGATATAAACAAAGACACAAATACGTAAACCAGTGTACTTTGGACAAGTGATAATGTGATGAAATGGAAAAGTTGCAGGAATATTATCATCCCTTGTGGCTAGTCAGTTATTCTGTAATAACGGTAACCTTCCTCCAGGACACATGCTGAACATTTAGCACCACCTATAATAGAATTTAACCTTTCATGATACCCTCACTCTTGTTTTGTTTTGTTTTGTTTTGTAATTGCATTCAAAGCTCAGCAATCTCATTCCAGAGATGTTTCAAATGGGTCACTTAGTGCAGTTCCATGCACTGGTCTCATGGGCCTCATCCCTTCAGGAACCACAGCACACATACCTACAGGGTGAAAGAGTTGGAGCTGTTCAGTCAGGAGAAGAGAAGGCTCCTGGAAGACCTTATAGCACCTTCCAGTACCTAAAGGGTGCCTACAAGAGAGTTGGAGAGAGAGACTTTTTAGACGTGCATGTAGTGATAGGATGAGGGGTAACTGCTTTAAACTGAAAAAGGGTAGGTTCACGTTGGATATTGGGAAGAAATTCTTTACTAGAACAGGTTGCCCAGAGAAGCTGTGGATGCTCCATTCCTGGAAGTGTTCAAGATTAAGTTTGACAGCGCTTTGAGGAACCTGGTCTAGTAGAAGCTGTCCCTGCCCATGGCAAGGGAGTTGGATCTAGATGAGCTTTAAGGTCCCTTCCAACATAAACCGTTCTATGATTCTCTGAACCTCAGTGAGTCATTGACTCCAAAACCATATAAATTATGAAATTTGTAAAAGAAGCCCTCTCACTTTTCTGAAACAGCAGACCTGACTAGCAGATAAGAAGCAACGCTCAGTTCAAAAGAATAGTATTGCAAGACTTTGACTTACAAAACCTGATTTCTTCACTCAGTGCCTGGGAAGGTGCTACTGTCAGTGGTCTCTGCTGTGGCAGTGTGTGCTCACAGCCCTGGAAAGCCAGTCAAATCTTGGGCTACATCAAAAGGACAGAGGCCAGCAGGTTGAAGGAGGTGATTCTCTCCATCTGCTCTGCTCTTGTGGGGCCCCACCTGGAGGGTGGGAATGTCCCCAGCATTACAAGGACATGGAACTCTTAGAGCAAGTCCAGAGGAGGGCCACAAAGTTGGTAGGAGGACTGGAACATCTCCCCTATGAGGACAGGCTGAGAACATTGGGACTGCTCAGCCTGGAGACCTCATAGCAACCTTCCAGTATTTGAAGGGGGCCTACAGGGAAGCTGCAGAGGGACTCTTCATTAGGAATTGTAGTGACAGGACAAGAAGTAATGGATATAAAAGAGGGGAAATTTAAGGAAGAAATGCTTTACTGTGAGAGTGGTAAGACACAGGAACAGGTTGCCCCAGGGGTGTTGTGGATGCTCCAACCCTGGCAATGTTCAAAACCAGGTTGAATGAGGCCTTGAGCAACCTAGTCTAGTGGGACATGTTCCTGCCTGTGGCAGGGAGAGTTGGAACTAGATGATTTTTAAGGTCCGTTCCAGCCACTTCACATTCTATAATCTGAAAGTGGCACTGAGAGCCTCAGAGAAATATATACATCTATGCGTGTTTACTGTGGTACCTGAAGAATACTCTAGTCCTCATTTATATAAGATTTTTTTCACTTGAGCAGGAGCTGAGTGAGAACCATCTTCAGGCAAATGTTCCATAAACCAGTTGTAATTCCATTAGGAAGGGTTGCATTGGGTACCTTCAGGGACATCAGCATTGACTGCCATTTGTAAAAAGTTGGAGTAAGAAGGGATAACTGTCCTTTTTTACAGCTACCATGTCTGTCTAGTTCTCTGTTTGCATGTCCTAGTTGAAATAAAGACATTTAAACTGACATTTTCCAATGTTATTTTTTTTCAGCTATTGATCTCATAAATAATTTGTTGCAAGTGAAAATGAGAAAGCGCTACAGTGTGGACAAAACATTAAGCCACCCATGGTTACAGGTATTTCTACAAATTCCATGTTTTTACTTGTGCATTGAGACTCCAAGCATATAGCAAATCTTAATCTTTAAGCACAGTAGAATCTAAGCAGATCTACAAATCTGAAGATGTTTTCAGATCCTGAGAACCTCAGTCTCCTTCACCAATTTACTCTATGGTTTCTCATTAATTTCTGAAGTATTAGATTCCAATAGTAAACTTTCTCATGCTTTCAAAATACACTAGAAAATATCGTATTTGTCTACTGAGAAAATTATGTATATTAAAAAAACCCTTGTAGTCATTTGACTTACATAATTTCATTGCCTGGAATTTACCCTGATTCTCTTATGAAAACTGATCAACAGGCTTTCCCTTCACAGTCATCAGAAGAACTAGTTAAGTTGGAAATGGAAATGGAGTCCTTCTCTGGTACCTTATAGCTTCTACTGTTTCTCAAAGTAGAGGGAGACCTGCTGGTACAGGAGGATGATGGCTGTAACCTCCCACCTTCCTCAGGGACATTATCCTGTGCTTGCTTTCATCCTCCTGGATTTCCTGTTACTCTCTAGTCTTTTCCTCCAAGACTGCTTTTCTCACTGGCACCCATTGCAGAATGCATTTGTCAGAGTCTTTGGGGACCAGAGGTGGTCTGGTCTAAGGTCTGTAGCAAGGATGCTGGCCATGTCACGTGATAGGACCAGGGTCCTTTGTCTCTACATCCTTTTTTATTGCTTATGCAATGGTGAGTGGAGCTGAACTAAGGTGAGACAATACAGCAGCAGCTCTAGAACCATAGATGGGGTGAGTCCTTTCTAGAACAGTCCTACCTTGCAGGCTAAGGAAAGATGACAGTGGTGCAGGGCAGTGAGACTTAGAGGCGATCTCTGAGATGATGACTCTACAAGAGATGGGCTAAAGGATGTGAGATACTAAAGATGAAGACTTTCACGTGTTTACAGTGTTTGGACTTCCTGGTACTTTGGCTAGATGTTCAAGGTTGTGTCTTAGGTTGAGACAAGATGAAGGAGAAAAAGAGGAAACTGGATACAGGATCGTGAGGAATGATTAGTCTGGGGTTAGGATTGGCTCTGTTACTGCAGCTTCATGTTTGCTTTGGGTGGGAACAAGAAAAGAAATTAGTAAACTTCTTATATACTTTAGACAGATCAGAGGCTGCAGAGCCTGATTGTCAAACTAATGATGAGGCTGAAACTAGCTTCCAGCCTTATGGTTGATTGTCAACACCAGTAATTGCCCAAGTTTAGAAAAGGATTTTTTTTTCTAGTCCAAGCTGAATTTATGTTCTGCATCATTATATTGTGATGGAGCAACTGCCTTGATTATCAGATACAGATCATTAGGATCTACATGTATGATTTAAAGATGTTTCTTCTTCCTTGTTCGTCTTGTGACTGGGGTGGGCTTTATCACCATGCCTCATTTAGATGTTATGGCACTCTGTACATATCCATACATTCTGCAACATAACGTGTAGCATCTCCATACTATACTTATAACAGCATTTGATAAAATTAATGTATCAGAAAGTCTTCTAGAGATTAAATTCTTGTTTATTAATTCTAAGATTTTTCCATTCTGTAGCAATAGGGATGACCTTTAGGTAGCTGACTTAATAGCACTTTGCATATTATTGATAGCAGAAGGGAATGTAACTTACATTAGGAAATCTAAAACTAGTATTGTTATTCTATTTCAGGACTACCAGACCTGGTTAGATTTAAGGGAATTGGAATGTAAAATGGGGGAACGTTACATCACCCATGAAAGTGATGACTCCCGATGGGAACAGTACTCAGGAGAACATGGATTGCAGTATCCAGCACACCTTATCAGTCCAAGTGCTAACCATAATGAAAACACCAAGCTAGAAGAAACAGAAATGAAAGCCCTCAGTGAGCGTGTCAGCATCCTTTAAATTGCATCCCCTATAATCTGTCAAAACACTGTGGAATTAATAAATACATACGGTCAGGTTTAACGTTTGCCTTGCAGAACTGCCATTATTTTCTGTCAGATGGGAACAAAGCTGTTATGCTGTTACACTGTTGATATATCTGAGTTGCCAAGACAAATCAACAGAAACATTTTTGTGTGACCAACTGTGTTGTATTTACAGAAGTTCCCAGAAACACTAAACTTGTTATTGTGAATGATTCATGTTGTATTTAACGTATTAAAACCTGTCTCCACGGTGCCTTTGCAAACTAGTATTTTTCTTACTTGATCCTAGTTTTGGTAAGAGACAACTTTCCCATGAAGATCTGGGGTTTTTTTTGTGCATCGTTAGTATTGTAATTGTAAGCAAACTCTTGAAGAGTAGATTATAACTGCTGTTCTGTGAACAACTACTACCATTTGGATAAAAGCTTTATTTAGTTCCTAAAAACAGAAAAGGCAAAAAAATAATGATTTGCACAACACTGTACAGTTTAAAATCAGATAACCTGTGTGTATGTTTGTGTATGTAGATACATACATACAGTATAACTTGCTCTTAAGCCTAAATGCCTTAGTAATGTAAACTGCAGCATGTTGGTTGTATTTCCCCTTTTCTTAAAATATTCTTCTCTATTATGAATATTCTCTAATATGTACATTAGGAAGCTAAATAACGTGTTGACTTTGTATATGTTTTCAATAAAAGTCTTATTAAAATAGTCTCATTGGTGAAACTTTCTGTTTAAAATATCCCTGGAATGGCATCAGAAGGACACAGTAAGTTAGTTCATCATTAAGAAGATGAAGTGAAGGTAGGTAGGAAAATGTTGACAGATAACCTCTGTACCTATAAAACATATTTTGTAAGAACCAACTTGGCCTGATTTTATATCCTAAGTTTAACCAGTTTTAAAACTTACTGAGAGAGTGGGGATGTTGAGGATGCCTTAATGGGAATTTAGTTTTTAGAGAAATGTGCTACTTCTGCTATTCCACCAAGAGGCAGAAATATGCAATGGTAAGAGTTAATAACTACACATGATAAACCTCTACTGATCAAATCTTGCCTTTATGTTACAGTCACGAGCTCTTTGGTAGATAAATCCATTCTTTCATTGAAGAAGAGCTGTGTCCAGAGGAAATTTATGCCAGATACATAACATGACTAAGGTCAGCAGAATTTTTCTTAGGTATTTTGCACCTCTGCTGGATAGTTGGTGTGTACTGTAGCAGAAATGAAGAAATGATACCTTTATTCAAACAGAAAACAAAACTATATTTTAGAAAATTTAAAAGTATTGTGAAAATCACTTATAAATTCTCTCTCATGCCCACCTTGTACCCCTACTTCCACTACCAGAAACAAATCCTTTTCCACTTCAGTTTTGCCACTCTGATCACACTGGCCTTGTAACATGTTCTGAAGCTGCTCTTGTTGGGCAAGTTCAAATGTGTTTACTATTCTGCCATGCTATATTTTCCACCCTGTCTATATTTTCAGTCAGGATGTTCCTACAAGACTAAAATTTGGTTAGTCATTAGCCATTGTTTATTTTACTTTCAGCATTATGCTTAATCTTCAATTGACTGGAAAACAGATATAAAAATAGACAAAATAGACAAGCTGTTTATCAAATTTCTGTCAGAGTGCATATGCATGTGTATATTTAAAAGCAAGTCCTCTTAAAGGTGCACTGGTGGATTCATGGATATATAAAGACTATAATCCATTCTATGAGGACTCCAGGAGTCAAGTAAAAATAACTAACTTTTCTAAAAGGAAATTAGGGAAATTATTGGACTGACAGACTTTGTTCAGATGCCGATCGCATGACTGTTAATAAGGAGTCAGAACTTCACAGAAATGCCTTAATTTTGTTATGTCATTCCTCTGTGTTAACCAGTAACAGAGATTTAGGGCTCTGGTTTCATGTGGATTAATTTAATTGAGTCAGGATTTTATTAGTGGCGTGGTTTTGTTTACAATTAGTGTACCAACTCTTGAGCAAAGGCAGTTTTCAACAACACAGATAAATTCCCAAAAATATCAAATAGCATACTGGCACTCTGTTCTCAAGCATGGACAGTAGTCAGGAGATTAAAAGAGAAAGCAAACCACTTTGCAGCTTGCAATAGCATGTCTAAGAAGCTGGGCAACAAAAGTAAACTGACTTTTAATGAAGGAAGAGCATTGAATACTTATACTAAGCACCAACATCTGCTGATTTCTGCCATAGCAATGATTAGCATGCACATGGGTTTGCCACCACAGACCTATGTTAATAAACATCATGGAGCACTTTTGATAAACTGTTTGCCAGCAGAGCAGAGACAAAAGTATAAATAAATTACTACCCTGAAAAACTTTCTGACTAGCTACTAAACATGATTTCCAAGGAACTCTTGTTTTATTACTAGAGGTGTATTATACTTTTTTCTCCCTCCATGCCTGTTTTTTTGGGGTTTTCTTTGATAACTGGGGCTTGCTTTATTGCTTTAAGGAACTTGTCCAAATATTCATTACTTCTCAAAAAAACAATCTGCCATTTTCCAATATAATAAATTAAAATTTTCCCTTCTGCTGTTCAAAAATACTGCACTGTGAAATTTGAACTGTTTGCATTTCAGCCAGACAGATGAATTCACTGATTCCTAACTCAAAGCTGAAACAGAAATTTGCTCTTCCAGATACATCAGCATCAAAGTGTACTGAAGCAAAGCTACATATTTTTCCTTTGCTTGTTTTACTCAGGAAAATGGAATGGTAGGCTACTCTGTAGTAATGTTTCCATGGCCTTTACCATTTTCCATTAGGCCAGTAGTTTCTGCATATGCATCCTGGAAGCAAAAAGAACAGTGGTTATGCTGCACGTAAGTATTGACCTGAGGAGCCGTTGATGCTATTTCATTGGCACTACACCGTATCAAGCACATGTGTGCAGATAATCATACATCTGTAGACATGTTCAGTGTGTCAAAACTTAGTTGTGGAGTGCTGAGAAGTATCCAACACATACTTGGAAGTTAGAAGTTCTGATTTATCTTGCTGTTTTCACTGCTTTAGACATTAGCCCTTCAGATACCCTTTCTTTATCCAATGTCTTGTCCAGGCAGTTTAACTAAACAGTGTGAGCAAAAAACATGTAATTGTGCAACTTGTACAGCTCAACTGTTGTGCAGCTGCTCAGCCACATATGAATAACCATCCATCCATCCATCTACACCTTCATATCATAGGATGGAAAGGAATTCCTGTCTGAATTTCACACATTGTCTCAGATACTAGTTCAGACCTCCTTGTTCTCACCTTAGCAGGACCTCTTCAAAAGTATTTGGATATTCTGCCTTCTCATTTTCTTCCTCCTCTTCCCCCTCTACACCTCACTCCTGAAAAGCCTTCTGAGAATCTCACCTCTCTGGGGGTTAGAAATAAATCCTGACCTGATGGCAAGGCAATAATCTGTTGTTTGTGTTAATGACAATCCTTTTTGCTTGGGAGGTTAAGCAAGCCAGATTATTTATTTTACATTATTGGATAAATCAATGCCTCTTCTGCGCACCCGAATTTATCCTGGACAACAAAGTCATAGAGGTGACATAGAAAATTCTAATTAGCTGAAAAATCCCCCGAACCCGTACTGGATTAAGAGGAACAGATACTTGATGTCCTGTGAACCTGGGGAAAAAGGAAAAGAAAGAAGAAAACTAGGGAAATTTCAAGAATTAATCACTAGGCAGGTTAACCCCCATAGGCAGCAAACTCAGACTTGGGTAATTATGGATTATGGTGCAGTATTATTCAGCTAGGTCTCCCAAAATATTGGCATTCTGGAAAAGATTCTCCAGAGCCCAGTACCTGTTGTTTTTAGCACCCCTAACCTTGCTAAACATCACTTTCACAGAGAAACTCCATTTTTTTCCCCCTGGAAAAATAGCCCATAATTTATTCTAGTGACCAAGGAAGCCAGCCACATACTGCACTGGCCACCTTCTGCCTCATGACCAGACCTATGGCATCTGAACCAAAAGTTTCATATTCCTGGGGTTTCCAGTGCATGTGCCAGATGGGAAAGAGCTCAACCAAATCAAATGTAAACCAGAGGAACTGTCTTGGTAGATAGTGTGTTTTTTTCAGTGGTGGCAAATTTGGCACCTGAATGGGGTGCAGAGTTTCACCTTGCTTTTTTCTTAGTTTGTTTCAAGCAACTGGAGCATGTGAATGCTGAAATCAGAGTCTACTGAGGGAGCTAATATTTGTATGTGCTTCTTGCTGAATCATTGCTATATTTTGGTGAAGAACAGGGAGCACACATTGTAAGAAGTGTCAGCTATTTTGCTGCCTTACTAAACATCTACAAACTTGAATATCAGCTGTTCATAAATAAGAATTTAATAAAAGTCTACTTTGGTTTTAGACTGAAAACTTGCTATTTTGAAAGGTTCCTTGAAATTAAGTGTTTTGCTTTCCCCATTCAAGGGCATTCAAGCACTAAGGTCCTACACTAAGGGAGTGTCTCTCTGCTGTAAGCCTGGAGAACCTGAGGCCTCACGCTGCAGAATTTTGCCAGGAAGGGTGCCAACCAGGGGAGCTACAAGGAAAACAGGCATTATGAGAATGTGCCTTTAAGGCAAATGCCAAAATCTGTAAGCATGTGTGTGCTGCCAAACTTTGACAAAAACTGGCAGATTCTGTTGAAGTATTTCTATCAAGACAAACTATTTTTCAATATAAATTTATGATACATTTGCCAACTATAACTTAAACAGTTTCTTATATAACTTCCAAAATTAACAGTGACTTATTGGGAATGACCTCTGACTCTTTTAATGGGGACTGATTTTTCAGAGTCCTAATAACTACCCTTTGAAAAGCAAGTAGTTCATTCTTGTTCTTCTGTTGACTTAGGCATACAAAAACATGAGTTATTTGAGCAGTTAGGTCACTGAATTTAATGAATGGAAACTTTACTGGCATATTCTTTTAAAAAAATAAACATTTACTTGGGGGACCTGGCTCACATTTACCAAGTAAAGAGCTGCAGCTGTTTAAGATGTTACTGTCTGATCCCCTAGCTGTTCGTTACTGGTCTTACTACAGAGCAGAAATGGATTTCAGCTTGTCTAGATGACACACTAGATGACACTAAGCACAATTTGTATCTTAATGTTTAAGTTAATTTGTCCAATTGTGAATTAGAGCTGTGATGCTCCATTCTGCCAGGTCTGCCACCTGGAAAAGGGGCAGGAGGGAGAGTGAGGGCATTCCACTACTGTAGCTAGGTTTGCCAGAAGTCACAGGTCAGAGTCCTTAACTGCATTTCTCGAAAGTGAATTATGCTTGCAAGCATGAATCCCTGAGGGTTTCTAGGTGTTTCAGGATTCCTGATTTCTTCTGAAATAGGATTTAAGGTCT